TGCGCACAGAACACTCCCCATGCGCACAGAACACCCTGCATGCGCACAGAAGACCGCTCGAGGGGGGGTCGCCAGGCGATACTCCGTACATACGCACGCGAACCGTCCGTGCGCACAGACCACCGCGGGCAGTCTCAACTTGACGAGATACGATAATTGCGAAAATTCTTAACCTAATAAATAATTCTATCTTAAAAAAAACAGTGCAATCACGTAAAATCCAATAGTCAGTGAAACATAATTGATTGAAGAAAATTTAGCGTGCGGATTTTGGTCTTGACCATCAAAAACACTTCGATTGGATCTCTGAAACGGGAATGGGAGTATCAGATACTCCAATTCGGTTCGTTTGTGAAAACTGCTGCATCAGCTGTAAGTCGCTGTTATTTTTTAATAAAAAATAAGAGGAATCAATTTATTTATTGTTATTGCCTGATTTTCGGAGATTGGGTAATGCTTCTATAGTTTATTCTATTTTTGAAACTTTGAGGTCATGTAGATACCACACATCCCATAAACCAAGAAAAAAATAATATTCGCAAAAATTTCTAGAAAATTCTTTTAAAAAATTTCCGAAACAAATTTTTGAAAAATTTTTCAAAATATTTCCCAAAAATAGTTGTTTTGTTTCCCGATTTTTTTTGTTTCAAACGAACAATTTTCTGAAAAGTTTTCCAGAAATTTTTCGAGAATTTGAAAAAAATATTCTGATGACAATTTTTTTTTTACCCGGGATTTTTTTGAATAGTCCCACCAGTGCCGAACAGCTGCAGAATGGCGATGACATGGAGATGAGGGGAAGGTGATAGTGCCGCCTGAGAGAACTTGTCCCCTGTTTTTGGTTTGACAATACCTGCTTGTATCATACCTCAATAACAATGATGTAATACACCGCCTCCTAGTGCTGTTTGGGAATTTTAGAATCTCCACAAATTGTTTTTTTTTTTTAACAATTTGTAGAACATGTCACAATGTCAAATAGGTGAATTTCATTTACGCATAATACATTTAATTACTCAATCAATTTCGAAAATGATTAATCAGTGATGAAATAAAAAAATCAGTCCGACGTTTCTAGGTTATAAAATGCATGAGACATACGTCAGAACAAAAATTGCATCTATTGATATCGAACGATTTTCATTCGCTGATTTTTATTTCAAAATATAATCTGATTCATGGTTCATGGATTACAATTATTGTTTTACAGTGAGTACTGATATTTTACTGGAGTTCCTGGAAGTGGCATTCCACGGAATCCTCTACTACAGAAAGATTTATCCCTCCGAGATTTTTAGAAAGAAAAAGCTCTACGGAACTGGAATATGGATTTGCGAACATCCAGAGGTCAAGGAGTACTTGAAAAATATTCTCAACGCTGTGAGAGAAGCACTCACCGCAGATATCACCAGTATCAAAAGTGTTAACTTGATAATAACGGATAATCAAGGAATTCTACTAGAAAAATTTGCTTTTGATTTATTAAAAATACAGTTTGATGCCAAAGAGTGAGTATGCAATAATCATTTCAGAACAGAAAACAAATCGAAATCGAATAACAAAATTATTTACGCAATTGAATAACAAAAATAATGAATCATTAAAAAATTAACGAATATTGACTGACGAATGCAAAAGCTAATGCAGATAAATGATTTTTGTTTCCAGAAGTGATCCATATTTTTTAAAAACCGAGGAATCCTTAAGAACTCTTTGCTTAAAGTTCTCGATGTTGGACTCGTATCTGAAACCCCTTCCTGAGGATTCAATATTCTCTATTGAACTCGACACCCACGAGGCAGCTCTCGTAAGCCTCTCAGAGAATCCAAAGTGCGAGGATTTTCCCTGGATCATCAGAACCGATAATTCGATTGAAACTTCTGGGAGAACTTCACTCCTTCCCCTCTACACAGTGAGAACCGACCACTTGGCACTTCAGTTATTTGTTATTGGAGATACAAAGGTTTAATAACCATCCAAAATTTATTCTCTCTATGTTAAACAAAATCTTTATCTATTTTCAATATTAAATATCCAATACATTCACAGAAATACATTCCGCTCAGTTTAAAGAGGCAATTAAATACTTTGAAACTTATTCGCCATTAATATTTAGGCGACGATATATTTTTAAGCCTATTCAAATCCCCATTTCCCACCTCCCCCTGCTTTTGACCTGCACGTGCACCTGTCGGGATCGGGTCACCACAGGTACATCCTTATTAGTCCCAAATCCTCACAAATACTGCCCAAACAAAAATGCCCCACTCCGCAAAATCCCCTCTCCCCATCGCCCTTTACGAAACCCTCAGGAAGAAATACAACTTCATTCGCATTTTCCCCATTCACCAGTGCTAAATCGTCTTTGAGTCAGTGCGGTCACTCAATTCAGAAATTCTTGGCAATTCTCCCAGTTCCCAGGTGAATAAAGTGAATACAAGTGCTCGAATTTATTTATAAAATTAATAGCACGCGGTGTTTTTCCTTAAAAAGATTGATTGTTTCTCCATTCAAAGACAGAGTGTTCCCGGTTGTTATGGATACGAATGGACGTCCTCACGCCACACAAAACCCCAAACAAAATTCATAACCTCGCACCAAGTGCAATCCACTCTATCATACCCTCAATCCCAGAAGATTCAATTCCCGAAATGACTCTATCACCCTCGAAACTCCAAAAAATCGGCGTCAACAGATTTAAACTGACCTTGAAGTCCTCCTCGAAGTGTCTTCTCCGCAGGAACTTCCAGCACCTGGTATTTCACCCAGACGAAGAGACCGTTGCAGGTGTCGACACAAAAGGCATCCTCTACCTCTTGGAGTTAGTCTCTTCGGAATGGTCCGTGAAGAGATTGGGGTCAGTGGGTCAATCGACCTTTGTCGCATTCACCCCTTCTCAAAAGACTGAACTGCTGATTGGTCTCACTTCCAAAGACATAAAACTCCTCTCGACAACCTCCCCCGACAAGTACTGCATGCTGAAGGGTCACCAGGTCCCCCCAACCTGGATCTCTTTCTACAAGAACTACTGCCTGACAGCTTCCCGAAAAGAAGCAATAATCTGGAATATAGAAACAGCAAAAAAGGTACACCAACTCCGACTCGAAACCAATAACTCCTCCATCAGAAAAGCCCTCATTTCCCCAAACGGAGTGATTGCAGTCCTCTACGACACCGATGTCATTCAATCCTGGATGTTTGAGCTCTTCTCCTCGGAAAATCGCATCTCAATAACTCAGAATGGCCTTCGCAACGCGAAAGACTTCATCTTCACGGAAAATGGGAGATCCCTGATTATCTGCGGTAGCAAACGAAAAATACTGATCTTCAATACGAGATCCTGGAGCCTGACGTCTAGATTAGAGCTGCCTGAGGGTAATTCAGTGGCTAGGAGATTGTTTATCGTTCCTCAGGACGTCGATTGCGGCTGTCGAGTGCTTGCCATTTTATTTGAAGATGGAAACCTGCGATTTTTCGATTTATCAACGAAATCATTTGTAGAAACTTCAAATGGGAGTCTGGGAGGTGTGAGGAAGGCTGTGGTGTCCCCTGGAGGCCAGTGGCTTGCGACAATTGGATTCGACGGTTTCCTGGAGCTGCTGTCCGTCGATGGAATCATCAGACCCACCCCAAAGCCCCAGAAAAAGCTCTTGAAACCTGAGACAACGAGTCATGGGGTTGGTGATCACCTGAAATATGTCAGGGAAGAGTTCCAGGAGGAGCTAGAGGTGAAGAGACTAATTCCTATACTCAAGGAGTTCGGGGAATACCCAGAACGCCACAGGGCCCTCATCTGGAAGACGATCTTGAGACTTCCGGAGAATAGAGGGGAGTACTTCAGCCTCTCGGAGAAGGTCCTCCTGGAGACGGAGGTGGAGATGCTGAGGGAGTGGAAATTGGTAGACAAGAGTAGGAAGATGATGCTGTCGGTGACGATTGAGAGGCTCATACAGTTCTGCCCACTTCTGGGGCAGACGTTGTTCCTGCCGGAGTTGATTTTTCCATTTGTTGTGGCATTTGGGAGGAATCCTGTTGCTGCATTTGAAGCCATTCTCTCCATTCTGTGGAATTTCTGTCAAAAGTGGTTCGAGTATCATCCTTTGCCTCCTATCAATGTCCTGGGAATCGTGGAGAATATATTGGGAGAGGTAGACCCTGGCCTGTTGGAGTTTTATTGCCGACATGGAGTAACTTCTGGGGAATATGCTTGGCCACTCCTGAAGACCAGTTTCAGTGAGGTTTTGGTTGGAAGGGAGTGGATGGTCTTGTGGGATCATCTCATCACATCTGGGAGGCCCTCGTTGCTGATACTCTCTGTTGTTGCCTATAGTCTGGTCAATAAAGAGGCTATTGTGGGAGCTTTGGAGACGAAGGAAGATCTTAAGGCATTTTTTGGAAGCCAGGGGAGTGTCTCTGCGAGGAAGATCATCAGGGTAGCTGAGAGAATTGATAAGGAGGTGTCAGAGAAAAATCATCCTAGGAAATATTTGAGGTAATTGCCAGGGCTGCTGAATATTTTATCAGAATTAAAGGGACGTTTTTTGTGATTATTAAATGCTGGAAATTTGCCATTATAGGGATAGTCTGAAATTTCTGCCTGAATCTGGACCTTATCCGCCGTTTTTACTCAAAGAATACCCGAAATTTTTAATTGGGAATTTGGGAAATGCCAAACAACTGATAGACATGAAGCAAGAGGAATTCCTGTTGAAGGAGGAGAGGAGAAAGATGACCAGAGAATTGGAGGAGAGAAAAGTGAAAGAAGAAAGCGAGAATTTTCTGCAAGAAATTCATCAACAGAGGCTTCAAGGTGAGTCTGAAAAAAACGAAAAGATGTTAGAGTGAAACAATAAACTGAAAAACCGAAATTTAATTTGTTAGAAAACACATTCAAAGGATGTAATCTTTTTTCAGAGCTCCAAAAGTGTTATAACGAGCAACTCAAACTGACAAAGATGAATTTGGACTCTGAACGCGACAAATTAACGAAATTATCATCCGAAAATTTCCTGCATTCTTCGAGGAGTGGAATAACGAAACCAAGAAGTGTCAAAAGTAAAGTGATCCGTACAAGATCACACGGGAAGAGGGATATTTACGAGAAACTCGTGGAAGATGTGGATACCCTGGAAGAAGAGGTAGAAACATTCCTTCAAGGTCTCAGGAGCTCGAGATGAAAAATAAAACGAAAATCTCAAATTTCCATTCGTTGATACCTAAAGAGAGTGAACTCTCCATTGTAAATAACTGATATACAATATAAATTTAATATTTTCAAAATATTCCGAGTTTAATTTGTCCATATGAAAATATACCTTTTGCTGTGTACAAATGCTGTGGTGGAATGTTTAAAAAGTTTCGAATGTAATTCAATCATATTCGATGAGGGAATATACTGGGGCTTGGAGTTTGGACCGCCCCCCTAAATACACCAGTTCCATGATAATGAGACACTCTACAACCTCTCCTTCCAGCGATTTAACTAATTCGATTGCGGCGGCCATTGACCCTGGAAAAATCGAAATCACTCTGTATTCATCCAATTTTTCCAAAATTTTTAAACCAATTTGATTACCTCCAGTAGCCAGCAGGTCATCGACGATGAGGACTCTGTTGTCTTTGCTAATGCTCTCAGTTTGAACCTCAAACGTTGCCTTTAAACGAAAGAAAATTAAATGCATTATAGTTAAGCAATAAATAGAATCATTCAGACTTTCTGTGGAAATACCTCTCCATACTCCAGACTAAAAGTCTTCTCTGCAACATCTCCTGGCAATTTCCCCTTTTTCCTGATAGGCACAAAAGGTTTTCCAAGTTCCACAGCGATAAGAGGACCCACCAGGAAGCCCCTGGAGTCAAGACCGACGATGACGTCAATATTCAAGGATGAGGCATGCTCCACTAGAAGATCCTTGAGGGCTCTCATTGCAGCGACATTCTGGAAGACTCCAAAAATATCTCTAAACAACATAAACATTCAATCCGGTTATTAAATCTCATTAGAAAAAATGCGAGGTTATAATTCATTCAAATCATGATGATGCACTTACTTGTAAATGATTCCTTGCTTCGGGAAATGTTTGTACGTTTTTACTGCACTTCGTACAATTTGCAACTTCTCGTCTCTATCCATTTTAGTCAAATAAAATGCGTCGGAAAATTGGAAAACAGAAATTAACAACTTTGATACAGAATCAAAAGATTCGTCAGAGCATGGAGGAGTTGATATTCTCGACGAGAGGACCAGCTAGCGTGTCATTCGTCAAGATAATTACTATCTGACGTAATAGTTGAAGAATTTGTGGATATTATCTTCAGTTCGATACGGAGTACTATAAAGACCACGTGCTATGGTTTTCCCGGCTCTTCTGATTCGCCGCCCAATCCAATCCCTCATTTTCCCCAAATACATAATATACATAATGTACATGATTCGCTGGAGTTAAGATAAAACTTGCATATTTAAAAAACAAATCGGTTATCCTCAAATATATACTCCCTAGAACTCATATTTGATAGAAAAACACCTGGAAAGTTGTACGATAATTGTTTATCCGTCTTTAACAATTGAATTTGCTCAAACTAGCGGATTCGTATTACTGAGGAAATTTCCAGTTTTCTATCAGTAGCGCAGTAGTAAACTGGGATAAGTGCATTTTTTCGAGTGATATTTCAGAATTGAAAGAAGATAGCGAATTTTTCACGTGAATATTTTTTATAGAAAAATGTCAGACGCACAAAAGAGATATCTACGAAAAAATCGGTATTTACCTTCAATTTCGAGATATCAGGCAAGAGGTGGCCTAGAAAAAAAGGAATTATCCTAGTTTAGTACTTTGTAAAAGATATAAGTGGTGAGAAGTGGGATTTCATGTTTTCCGTGTTTTTCGTTGTTTCTTTGGGTGAAATGGACGATAATGTCGAGATGCTCTTTAAATCTGCCGCTTGGATAGGGATTTCCTGGTGCGCATGCGTGGCAGATGTTCGGCAAAATTCGGATTTAGTTCCGAAAAGTCTCTGGTCGTCGCCTATGTTAACGATCGTGAAAGGCTGCGTGGACAGCTGACACCTTGAAGACGTCCTTATTCTCCATCTGAATCGTCTGTAAAATAATAGACACCTAAGGTCCTCCCTTTTGTTCTTTCGGTTAATTAAATTACTTCCGTGTGATTGTTGTTTTTTTTCTCCGTGCATTCTCGAGGCCATCAATGATTTCGTTGCAGTCGCATAATCAGGTGAGTGATGCAAGAGAGGAGTGCTGTGTATTTTTGGGTTTTATTTCGTCATTCAATGTCTATTACCTATCTATTTATTGTTTTCAGTTATGATAATTCATGATTTGTTGGTTCTCCTTATTTGCTCTGAGTTTTTCGTCATCAGTTTTAGAAAAATTGTTGGGGAATTTCGGACATAACCAATAAATTTTATTAGACTTCACCAGTACAGGAAAAACATCGGTAATAAACATAGGAATTATTCATTCCTCTAAATTTATGCATTTTAAAGTACTTTTTTTTAAATTTTTTCAACTCGTTTGAAATTTACTTGATTTCTGGTTGAACATGAGAAGTTCCATTTAACCGCCATTTAGGGTCAAGTGCCCAGTGATTTCAGTGATTTTGGAATAACATTATTATTTAAACTTTTGGATTTCTGAAATTGTTTCTCAGTCTTGGAGCTTTAGAAAAGATTTCCTAAATGCAATGTAAATTAGTAACGCGAATTGTACAGAAACATTTTTGAAATGTTCGAACAATAACAATTTTTCATAACAACTGTCTTTTTTTATCCATTGTTTACAATCAACACTCATCCTTACGATAAAATGAATTTTTGCATAAAATCAAAATTATAACTCACAATTTTCCTAGATTGTAGCAAAATTTACAATTTCACACTGTTACTCCGTTTTTTTTTCTGTCAATCAATTTTCTCTTCCTAACTTATAGAAAGAAGAGAAATATAATTCAAACTGAATTTAGATTTATGATTTTTTTTATAGCTTCTACCACTGCCTTCTGGTTCTGTCTCCAATTAATTTAACAAATCAATTCAATAATTGAAAATATAAAACGCCGTAATGTGATCGAGACTAAAATTAAAAATGTACTTGGGTATTGTTAATTAATTAAGAATGAATTATGAAACTGAGAGAATCTTTGTACTTAAGTGTCTCGATAGCTCGGAGATTTGAAAAAATACGATAAATGTTAAAGAATTTTATTTATCCTTCAAATTTCTCAATTTCCATTTTTAGGTGCTGTACCACCTGACCCAGTTGACGTCAGCCTTCACCCCCAGAAGCTCTTACTCAGCCCGTCTAAAGGCCCGGCCAAAATCATCTACCCCATCTCCAGAGATTCTCTGCGAGGAGAGTCTCCTGGAGGCCGCCAAGAATTGCACAGAGCTTCCCTTAGAGAACCTGAACATCCGAGCTGTTTCCGAAGCATCAAGACTCCTGAAAACAGACGTCCAGAAGGTCCTCAAACGAGTCAACAGGATCCCTAGGACCTTGAAAGACCCCCATGATGATTGGAGAATCTCTTACATCTCTGGTGCATCCTTCTCAGACAACAAACAAGGATTGTCGTATACTTATGATCTACTCCACAGAAATATCTTTATTCTGGCTGTACCCACCTCGAGAGACATCCTAGTGCGTGGCTTTAAAACTCATCGAAATGTCAAAGCGGAAATCGAGAGGAATCCCTCACTTTTTGGCAGATTAAGGACGTGGATTGGTCTTTCCAAAACCAGCGTAAGAAATTATCACTTTCTCTGAATTCATTGGAATTTCTTGGATCAATTAACGCTCATTACAACAAGCGCGAGTATTTAATCTGACTTTTCACTTTTGTGAAGATTCTCCAATACGAAAAAGTATGCAGCATGAAAATTTAATTTTCAAAGTTATTATTTAAAAATAAGGTTCAAGGTCTGAATAGGAAATAGATTTATCTGTTTATTTTGTCCTTTTATCAAGTTATAAAATAGCGAAAAAAGCTCCACTCTTTATCTGATCAATGAAATATCAAATTCAACAAAAAACTATATCATATACCCCTCGAATTTTTTTTACTCATAGGAATGACAATAAATATAAGTAAATAATAATCGAATTAGCTGGTTGCTTTAATCACATTTTTTAATTTCTTATCATCAGGAAGGAAAGCCGAAGGCTGGTATCGATGGTACGGACTTGGAGAACCTGAAGAATATCCTGAATGACACAGATCTCGCTCCCGATGAAAAACAACGCGTGAAGATCGCTTTTGCTGAGGGATACGTTGCTGGAAATGAGAGGAAATCACCAGATCGTAAATTCAAATGGCTGAAGTTGATTCAACAAGTGGTGATGACAGCCGTGGGATTATTCATCCTCGGGTCGATCATGGGTATGTATAAATGTTAGTATCACACGCATTAACTATTTTTGTGGCACTCCTGCTGGTTCATACATTCTTCAAATCCACTTCTTGATTTTCTTCGTGAAAGGTCATTTTTCACGATGAAGACTAAATGGAAATGGGTTTGAGCTCTTCAATTGATTTTTATGATTTGTTAATTATTTTTTGATACATCTTTATTTTATTTTTTGATATTTATCTCAGTTGTGTGAACACTTTCCCCGAATTTCATCGCAATTTTGACCATTTTATATTAGGATGTTGCCTGAAATATTCCTCCTCCCCTTCAAAACGTATGAGCCAGGCTAACATATTCATTTTCCTTATCATAATCATTTGAAATCACTTCGTGCTCTCCTCGAATGCCATTTCTTTTTATATTGCAACGTGAAATGTTGGAATTACTTTCGATGAGAAGTGACAGATTTAGATTGAATTTCGGGTATGGAAGGAGATACAGAATCTCCACTCCCTTCTCTCCTGAAGGCATATGAGTTTTATAATTTATCTAAGTTCGGTTGTACTCAATTCAACGTGTGTCAAGGTACTACAAGCTTTACCAGGCCTTAGCATCACTCAGGATTGGCGACGAAGACACACATAGTATGAACCCCATGAAGATCATAATATGATCTGGTCTCCCTGTCAAGTAATTTTACACCTAATTGAATCCGACTCAATTTTATTTTCGCTATTGCAATTCGCTTGTTCAATTGAGTTTCGCAGAAGAATTCATTGAAGGATTTATATATACTAATTACCGAAAAATAATAATATTTCACGACATATAACGCCCTTTAGCCAGTACCAACGGCAGCGTCTTCCGAATCCAGTTGGGCTCGCACTCAGCAGTGAATCCCGAGGAGATCTCGGTGACATTTGCAGACGTCAAAGGTGTCACTGAAGCAAAGCAAGAGCTTGAAGACATAGTAGAATTCCTGAAAAATCCTGAGAAATTCTCAACCCTAGGGGGTCGTCTCCCAAAGGGAGTTCTCCTTGTGGGTCCCCCGGGTACTGGGAAGACTCTCCTCGCCAGAGCAGTTGCAGGGGAAGCCAGAGTACCCTTTTTCCACGCAGCGGGTTCGGAGTTTGATGAAATTCTCGTAGGACAGGGTGCGAGAAGAGTGAGAGATCTTTTCAAAGCAGCCAAGGAACGTGCACCCTGTGTCGTTTTTATAGACGAAATTGACTCTGTCGGAGGAAAGAGAACGTCCTCGGTGATCCATCCCTATGCCAATCAGACGATAAATCAGTTGCTCTCAGAGATGGACGGTTTCCATCCCAATGAAGGAGTTATTGTTCTTGGGGCGACTAATCGTAAAAACGATCTGGACAAAGCACTTCTGCGTCCTGGTAGGTTTGACGTCGAAGTATACGTTCACAAGCCTGATATCAAGGGCAGGAGGGAGATCCTTGAGCTGTACCTGTCCAAGGTCCTGGCTAAATCCATTGACATTGAGATATTGGCGAGGAGCACCACTGGATTCACTGGGGCTGACATCGAGACGATGGTCAATCAGGCTGCCCTCAGGGCTGCTGTCGAGGGTGCTGATTTCGTCACGATGGACCATCTGCATAAGGCCATGGAGAAAGTAGTCCTTGGACCCGAGCTTAAGGGGATGATGCCTGATAACGAGGAGAACGTTATCACTGCGTATCATGAGGCTGGACATGCTATTGTATCGTACTATACCAAGGACTCTATGCCACTTTCCAAGGTGAGAACAGATCTCAATAAAAAATATATTTCAATAGGTCTTGTACGATATTAATGAAGATTTGGATGGATTCAATTCAATGGATGGATTTAATTCAATAATAAATCTTAGAGGCAACTTTCATTATCTATTCTTTCAGGTCACCATAATCCCTAGAGCTGGATCTCTAGGACACACGAGTTACGTTCCCGCAAAAGATGTGTATCACAACACGAAGAGCCAGTTACTAGCGTCCATGGACTCTTCGTTCGGAGGTAGAGTGGCTGAGGAGTTGATTTTCGGCCCGGAAAAAATAACGACAGGATCAGCTGCTGATCTCCAGAGAGCCAGTGAAATCGCTGCAAGCATGGTGAAAAATTATGGAATGAGTGAAAAGGCGGGATTTAGGACTCAGTACGAGGAGAAGCCTGAGTACAGCCCCAGTACCAATGAAGTCATTGATGGAGAAGTCAAACGATTGTTACAGGTACATTTCTATGAATCTTAATACAGCAAAGATGAAAGAAATTAATTTTTTGAAGGTAATGAAATGCTTTCGATTCTCTGGAAAAGTGATGAGAAAAATTATTTTGATCTTGAATGTTCGCAGGAATCATACGACAGAGCCAAGAATATTCTCAAAACTCATGCTAAAGAGCATAAATTACTAGCAGAAGCCCTCTTAAAATACGAAACCCTAGATGTTGAAGACATAAAAGCCGTTATCAACGGAAAAACACCAAAAGCAGAACCAGCTAATCCTGAAAAAAGACCACAATCGATTATAGATGTTCCAGGTAACGTCATGTAACGGGAAGACTCAAGTGAATTCACTCCTGGGAATAGGATAAAATTGAATTATTAAAAAAAAATAGAAAATGACAAATCATGAGTAAAAAATATCTGGTTGGCATTTGTCGCCGTAAATACATGGGGGAATCCTCCGAGATGGAGTTTCCAGAGGTATGACGTGATTTGTTGATGAAAAATCGAAGCAGTTGGGTTAAAACCCCACGAGTATATGTGCATATAAATATTTTTTGAAACGGTGAAATTTTTGATTATCTCACAGGTAAATAAATCAGTTGAAATACGTCATTAAATTTATTACAAGAGATCTGTATTTCTTCTGGGGTGCAACAATGTTGATTGCTTTTCAAAAATTTTGGCAATATTTACGGATAATTTTTGGGAATTCGATCACTCCCTCTGTCATGGTTAAGATGGATTTTGCCTTCTAATTTGTTAGCTGTCAAATTCCAAGTAAATTTAATCCTTTCAGAAGGGTTACAAATTCTTGTACTGTTTATGTAAGTTTGATTTTTTTTCTTATCATTTTCACTGCTTTTTTATAACGATATACTCGTAGGGCCTTGAAAGGGATGTGTTTAAAAATTGATTGTCATTATTTCGTGAATATTTTAAAAGGGGCTTTGTGGAGAGATGTCGAGACATTTTTTGTAGGAAATTTAAATTTCCCACTTAAAAATTGAATTACATTTTCCGATATATAATATCGATAGTTTTCGAGCTGTCCACAGTTTTTCCGACTCATCTATCCGTCGACATGAAAATTCATGGGAGAAAGTGAAAAATATTGTAACATTTCGGGACTATTTCTGTGGTATGAGAGTAATGAAAATTTTGTACAGTAAATAATAAATACATATTAAAACAATTCTTACGAATATTTACATTGACTATTAATGTTAATTTTAACTGAGACTATTTATGTTTTCATCATTTTCTGCTGTAAAATAAAGAATTTTAGTCTTCCCAGTCGTCTTTTTCATTTTTCAAAATGATTCTATCTTTTCGAGCGCCTTTGAAGTTTAAAACTGAATTGTTTGGGATCAACTGGAATCATTGGAAGGGGTCTTTCATTTCTTTTCGAATCCAAGTAATCAATTCTCGTTCAGTACTCGATTATTGCTGTTCAATTTTTATCGTGAGGATCGATCAAAGAATTGCGGAAAAGACGGAAATTTAAAAATAGAGCGGAAAAAATTGAGAGATCTTTTCAGTGAATTTTTATTGTTGCATTGATATGCAAATTATTTTTTTTTACGGGATTTAATGAAGAAAAAATCAACTCACGTCGACTCGTATCGATATATGTTGTGATTCATATTGAGCGCTACAGTCCTAATTATGGACCTAATTTAGATTAATTCCACTCTTTTCATGTTATGTTTCATCTTTCTTTTTTTTCCAACTTTTTTTCGTCCGTCTTACCCTGGGATATCTACATTGCCCCAGGTTCTATTTAGAACATTTTAAACCAATGACGACCTCTTCCTTACCGAAAGGTTAAACCTAACCTCGCGGCTAATTTCCCCCGGTTCTCCTGCTGGCATTAACAATAATGACCGGTCCATTGTAAAAAAGCTCGAATTGCCGAATAATTGACAGGAATTGACAGTTAGTCAAAAACTGTGGAGACGACGGGAATATCTCAGGTAATTATAATTCAAACCCTTTGAAAAATCATGGAGAATTATCTGTAATCACTCATCTTTCCTGTTGGATAATTTCTTACTGTTCCACATTTTCAGAAGAAGACGTAACCATGGCGAGCCGATTAGCATGGTTTTTGACACGCACAGGAAGAACATTTGTGGCTGTATCAGCCACTGCGGCTTGTGTTACAACCTCCCTCGCAACATATTTACCGCACACATTTATGTTGAACCAATATCGTGATTTGGTTGCAATGAGAAAGTGAGAGAATCATTTTTCTGTTTTGAGTTTAACGGGACATCACCGTGAATTTTCAAAGTTTGAACTTTAGGAGAGTCGAAAACGTCTTAAGTAGATTGTTTAAATTGAAGTTTAGAAATATTCTCGTTGATATTACTGACGTTGCTCTAAAATCCCAAATATATATATTCACATGGATTTTGTATGTATGCATGAGTATCGCGTTTAAAAAGTTATATCAGACTTCCTGTGACTCATTAATTGAATTTAATATTTTTTTCAACTCAATCAAACTTTTCAAATTATTCATATTATTAGGAAATGAGTTTCCAACCAATCGCTGCATAAATTATCCTCCAAGCTGATGTAATCATTCATCAGTGAGGGTGAACATATTGTTTGTAATTTTTTTCCATGAAAAGTCAGATTTTTCTTTTTTAAAAACTCCAACTCACCAATTCAAGAATTCATTCAATACCGCATTCATTCTTTTTTTCTAATTATCTAATTGAAAATGTGTATTGTTCCAGTACAAATATCATTCACCGTGAAATTATTTATAATATTTCAGGAATAATGACCCCTTCGAAGTCCCCCCAAAGCTTCAGTCACTGTTTTCGTCAGTTCTGGACGATCTCTCCTTCGACGATTACTACCGATTACTCTCGAAGTCGTTCATGGTCTTCGGCTTTGACGTTTATCACATGGGCTCTCTGTCCGCTCGCACGGGCACTTACATCGGATTCCCAATTAATTTCACCTATGACTCAACCTCGGCAGTCAAAAAGAATGACATATTCATGAATGAAGAGCCGATAAACTGGAACAGAGAGGATGCCAAACAGTTGCTGGAGTCTCTTATCCTCTCAGACGATGCCAAGAAATACGCCATGGCTAGGGAAGTCCTCATGACGAAGAGTAACCAAATTTTGTGGCACTCGATCAACTCAGGGATGTTAACTGCTGGATGCTATGGATTCACTTCCAAAGCTAACGCGTCTCTGGATCTCTATACGAGGCCCAGAGCGCTCAGAGTAATACTTTATACACTGAGTTGCTTGTTTTTCTGGGGCGTCTGGTGCATGCAAAAGGATTCACTAATCAGGTAATTTACGGAAGTTGAATGATGAAATCATTTGTTTGTTGGAGAATCTATTTTACAGAGAAATTTTCCAACCATCATCTTTTGTTATTCTCAATAGAAGCTTCCCAGTTATTCAAATTTCCCTTTTCCTTTTCTATGTCGCTAAATATGACTTCATAAGTGTTAGTATACGATTTTTAGATGCGTCTATGTAATTATATATGCGTATGTGTATGTAATATTTTTCAATTTTCTCTCAATATATAGTCTGAATGAAATCTCATGAATTTTTACAAAACTATACACATAAATTAGCTCTATTTATCGATATCACTTGATATTAAATTTATCATAGGTTCTGCCATATATTATTCTTTTCAACAATCATCTATTAGATCATTTTTTAAATAGTTGTTATTGAAAGAAATCTGGGAATATTACTTGACAAGTTTTTTGAAAATAAGTCTTATCAAGAAAAAAGGAAGAGTTTTATCTCATAGTTAAGATACGCATGCACTACTTATTGAACTTATTGAACTATTGCAATCTTTGGTTTGAATTTTATGTTGTTTTTATAAAATATTTACAATTTATAGATAGTACATGCGGGTCTTAAGGCCCGGATGGACTGTCTGGAAAAGATAATTTACTCCAAAATTGGGACTTCTAATTACTCCGTTAATTAATCGTTTTTTTATGATAATTATTAGCTAGCGGTATAGTTGTTGACAACCGCTACAACGCTAGCCAACAATTATTGAAAAAAAAAACGATTAATTGCCAAAGTAATTAGGAATCCGAATTTCGGAGTAAATTATCTTTTCTAGATAATCCACCCGAGCCTTAAATGAATATTTTTTTTTGTAAATACTTGCGAGTTTTGATAAACAATCTTTCTCGATTGCAATGGCAGGTTCTACGAGTCTCGGGCTGATGAACATCTAGCTCAATTAGGAGATAATTACATAAGAGGTGGCATCGAGTATTACGATAAGATTCTGCAACGAAATAAAGCCCTAAAAACGTTGGGTGGGCCCCAGGGAGCGAAGACTTTCAACACCGACGGAGATGAGACTTTCCTCTTCAGACAGAAACACCTACCCATCACTCATCGAAAAGAATTCTTAGAGAAAAAGCTCAAGGAAAAGAGTCAGATGAGTGAAGTGGAGAAAGTCGAGGAAATCGTGGGAAATGCTGTTAATTAGAAGAATTATATATATAAGGCTTTTGATTTTTTAATTAAAATTGTTGTACAATTACAGGTTTACATATTTACAGTGTTTTTTAGATTTTTTTTGCTAGTGTTTGAAGGGATAACTTGTAGTTCATCAATTAAAATAAGGAGAATATAAATGAATCAGGTATTCTTCGTATTTTAATGAGTTACATTCTCCGCCAATCCACAATATTTATAAGCAAGAGCACAATAAATCTCCATAAAAAACGATATCTCGCGATATTTACATAAACATTCAACATAAATTAACAATACAATAAATGAAGTTAATTAATTAATTGCAGCACTGGAGATGTCGGTTGATCAATCACTAGCTAAATTCCGGCCTTTACACTTTATTAATTCGTTAATCTAGCGGTAGACTGAGGCAAAAAATCAGTAAATTCTTGAAAAAATCTCGTTGAAACAAACAAATTATTCACTGAAAATGACCAAAAAACAAATCTGGTGGTAATCATTTAGAGCCTGTACTGAGATTAAGATTATTTCTTACAACAAATAGGTTCAGTCCAGATAGATATGTGACAGGAGTAGTTATTTCCCACCATTTCATAAACAAAGATGGAAATATGTTATCTCAAATGAATGATTCACGTTTGATATTGAATACTCCGTTACATTGAAGATGAAGTCATTATTCGTATTTGCGACGTCTTAATTTGAATTGCCCAAATTATTTTTTGATAATGTTTCACGATTTGTTTGATTGCAACTAGATTAATTCGAGTACCTGCTCGTATTTTTCTCAGTGTCAAAAGAAAATTTCTAAAGATCCATCAACTTTTCGCAGATATTGCCCCGTAGACTGAATCATTTCAGAGACAGAGAAGTAAAGAAGGGATGAATCCTCAAAATGATCTCCTTTCACCACATTTTATTTTCTGGACCACGATTTCCTCTGGCAGTTTGGTATCAGTGGTGTCCCATCGATTCATCATGTAGAGAGAATCTGATTGTCTTAAGACAACCCCAAAGATCCCAAAAGCGTTAATTTATCCTCTTCCTTTTTAAGTATTTTATTGGTCTGCTCTTGATCGAATTTGACGACGGCAGCTATCACTCGTGCAAGAACCAGAGTCTCTCGACCCATCATGTACTCGTACAGGATATTCCTGAGGTACTCAATCTCCGTCGAGTCCTCCAATGCATCGTGCCTTAATTTTACGATTTTTCGAAGTTCTGCCAGTTCTCGCCTCTGGGAAACTAGAGTCTGCTGGAGAGAATGGAATGATCCTGTATTGGATTGTACAGCAGCCATTGCCACTCTCGACATATTTTCTAATTCCTGAAATAGATAAATCAATAAAAATTTATGAAATTTGTTAATCCTCTAGGTCTGCACGGCACAGGCATCATTTTCTCAAACATAAGATTTCCTGTTTTGTTATACCAGCTCGAAATGCATGAATCCTTTTAAGTATTATAACAGATATAGAGAAGAGTGTGGGATAATATACGGGTTTTAAATTAAATTGAGGAATTAGCAATTGAGAATGTTCGACATTTTAGCCAAATGTGACGTTATTTTTAAGTTCCAAGGCAGTGCGACACTTTTCATGCGTTTTATCTATTTCTAGTTTTGTAATTCTTTTGAAAGCTTAGAAAAAATTAAGAAAAATGTTTGCACCGCCTTAAAACATCGTGAGTCATGAAATAATAACAAAACGCAAAAACAGTGAAGATAATTTTGTGTGCGCAAGGAGCAAAATTGCAAAAGCAAGGTAAAGTGCAAATCAGACTAGCAAAACCAACTAAATAATGAGAAAATCAATCAGATTAATTACCTCTTCCTTTTCCTCTACATTATCCTCATTCTGAAACCAAGAAATGAAAGAAAAAATCAACAAAAAGCCTAAAAAAAGCAATTTAAAAAGGACATATTTAACTAAAAACAAAAATATTCAAAAAATCTAGAACTAAATGGTAAAAGAAAACTATACTACGTAAATATAAAAACAAAATATATAGACTAAATAAAAAGAAAAGAGAGAACTCACAAATTTGTCCCTTTGCCACTCCTTTTCCATGCCCTCGAGTTGTTCGCTCTTGACCTTCATATTCCTCCATTTCCTCTCCACTTCTTTCACTTCATTGGCATGCTCCCTTTTAATACTGCTGATGGTTTCCACAAGCCTCTGGACCTCCTTATCCCTCCCCCTGAGGCTCTCGATCTCCTCGCTCTTGGCAGTGAGCTCAACCTGAAAGTCCTTGAGCTGCTCTTTGTACTGCTGCACGAGTTCTGATTCATATCCCTGTTGCCTCTCAAAATTCTTGCCCAGGGCTGCCTGGATCTCCCCATCTTTGTCCTGCAGTTGAGCCTGAAATTCTTTAACTAGCTGCGCCATCCTGACGGCATTCTCCTCCTCAGCTGTCCCTATCAACCCCTTCAACCTCTCAACTTCTTTCTTCAACTCATCAGTAAGAATTTCCAACTGTGATTCCTTGGCCTGAGAAGTGATCAGCTTGGACTCCATGGCCTGGAGCTGTCCCTGGAGCTCTTCGATTAATTTATGAAGCCTCTCGTCCTCCAGCCTCTCCTCGTCGCTCCTCATTCTCACTGACAATTGTCCCGTTGAATTTCCCTGGTTTTGAGCCTGTTCGATCCCCTCGAGTCTCTCCGATCTCTTCTTCAACTCCTCCAATAGCTGACTGGTCCACGACTCTTTCTCCAGCAGCTCCTTGATCTCCACGTCCTTCTCTGTTAGCTTCTTCACATATTCATCAATTACTAATTGGTTCTCCGTGCGAATTCTCTCCCTCTCGTCCTCCACTTTTTTCACTTCCTCCTGGTGGCGTCTCTCTTCCTCTTCCAATTTTGATCTAAACGTCGTCTGCTGGTCCTCAAGGTCTCCTTTAATCCTGGATATCTCTGATTCAAGCGTAGATTTCAAATCCTCAAGATTTTTCACCTTATTTCTATGACTCTCTTCTTTCTGCAGATATTCGTTTTGGGCTTCCTTCAGGGATTTTATCTCCCCTTGATAGTCATCGGACTCCGCCTGGACACTCGAGAGCTTTTCCTTCAGGAGAAGAACCTCCTGACGTTGGCTTTCAATTTCAGGCCTTTCGGCTTCTAGAGCCGAGAGTTTTGAGGATAATTCGGAGTTTTCAGAAGACAACTGAGATAATTTCTGCTGGAGTTCGATGAGATCTTCCTGTTGAGTCTTGGAGATGTTGGAAGAGGTCTTCAGGGCTTCGTTTTTCGACTCTAGATCCTGGATTGCCTTCGTTTGTTTATTTTTCAGGATTTTTAGCTTTTCTATTAGTTCGGTCTTCGATATGAGGCTGTCCTTCAAGGTGGAGTGGTCCTCCCGAACCTTCTGAAGACTCTCCTGAGCTTCTCGGAGTTGCTCTTTGGTAGATTCGAGGTCGGCAACGATTAATGGTATTCTGTCCTCGGTTTGTTTCAATTTTTCCATAGTCTTCACGTGATTTTCTTCTTCCATTTTCCGTTGCTGCATGTTGGAGGAATTTTCTGATGACAGTGAAGACAGTTCTTGGGATTTTATCCTCAGATTCTCCTCCAGGTGTTGGAGTTTTTCCTCCAGCTGCGCTTTTTCCTCCTGGTAAGTTACCAGGAGCTCTTGATTGTTGGAGATTTCTCCTTTGAGGCGATTGGATTCCTCTTGGCTATCTTCCATCAGCTTCTGGAGATCGACAAATTGAATTTTAAGATTCGATAATTCCTTGTGCTGAGATGAATATTTTTGCTGGAGGTCATCGAGTCCTGACGATTTTTCGTGGATTGTCTCTTCATTTTTGGACATTTCTGATCTCATATTCATCATTTGAGTATTTATGATCTGTTCGTTTTTGGTTCTTTGAGAGATTTCATCCATCAGTCTATTATTTTCCAATTCTAGAGTTTCTGATTTGTTCCTGAATTCGGATACTTCTTCATGTAATTTTGAGAGATCGGATATCTTGGAATTTAAATTATCTATCTCTGTGATGAGTTCGTTGTTCTTTTGTGAGATCTCGTCAAAGCCCTGGACTTTTTGCAGCATTTCGGAAACCTGTAGGTCCTTTTGGGTGATTTCTGAATTAAGTTTTTGTATTTCAGCTGTTAATTCACTGCTTTTAAAGGAAATTTCATCGAAATGCTCGGTTTTTGACATCAACTGCGAAATTTCCGAAGACTTTTGATGGATTTCCGACGACAATTCTTCATTTCTTTGTCGAATCTCATCAAAATCCTTGAGTTTTTCTATCAGTTCTTCA